CCCCCCCCCAGAAAACGAAACACCATCAGAGGTGGAGATCTAATAGAAGGGTGGGTCTAGGATAATAGTTCATTTCCGGATTGTCATGCACCGAGCAGCTTCTCCCAAACATCATGATGGTAGTGGAAATCTTCATTTGTTCCATTTACTCCAACTATGGGGACAAATGAGAAAAACTGTGACAAATGTCTTCACTCTAAATGAAATCAGAGGAGCATCATAAAAACATGAACTTACTTATGGACAAAGTTGTGGTCAAGCAAAAGGATTTCCAAAAGGATCCTCAAAGGCAGCTGTTGAACCAGAGCTCTGACCGACAGATGTATTCTGTTAAAAAAAAAAAATTGAGGGGAAAAAAATAAATAAATAAATAAGTATAACAATATCCTTGTTATCAAAAGGATTATTGGGATTAGGATGATAAAGTAAAAGGTGGTCATAAATAAAACTCTGTACCATAGCTACAGGTGGCACTCCAAATGGACTGGAGTCAGGGGCTCCAAATGCTTTGTCAAACATGTCCTGACCAAGTTCTGATCCCTGGGGTGGTGCTGAACTGTTTTGGATGGGAGCAGAGGAGAAGGCAACATCCAAGAGCCCTGGAACTGGAGCAGCAGCTGGAGCAGCAGCTGGAGCAGCAGCTGGTTTAGAGGCATCTAAATTTGCACATTACAAACACAGGACACAGTTACCAACAGGTCACAGTCATCAGATTATGACATAAGCCATTTCAGCTAGTTTAGCATTACCAATTGACGGCATCTTATTGATTTCAAAGTCATCGTGATCTGCAGCATCCTGCACGAGGCCCACTTTAGTGGAGAAGTATTGATCAAATGCCCCCGGTTGTTTACCACTGGAAGCTGGATCTGGCCCTGCTGCAAGCTCTCCTTTCCTGGCTGGGATGGCAGGAGGCTTGGCGAGCTGGAAGTCCTTGAACATGTCTTTCCCAGTCTTCTTCTCTTTCTCTCCGAGGGGATCCAAAGCTGTGAAGGCACTGTTCTCTACTTTTGGAGGGCCCTGTTTAGCAGGTGCTCTTGGAGGGGGGCGTGATGGACCCTGTGGATCACCCATACCTGGGAATGCATTAGGCTGGAAAGGATTGGTAGAGGCAGGTTGACCCCAAGAAAGGTGGGGTGGAGAAAGAGGAGCGGCAGCAAACTGTGGTGGCATCTGCTGACCCCAACCTGTTGGTGGTATGGGTAGACCACCAAAGGCAGATGGCTGTGGGAAGGCGGGCCTGGGCCCTGGAACTGTCCCTCCTGGCATGGGGAACATGTTGGGTGCAGCACTGGAGGCTCCCCACATGGTTACAGCAGGGACATTTGTGGTAGCTGGTGGACCCAACTGGAGATTCCCTAAATATATCAAAAAGAAAAAAAAAAAAAAAGTTTACAGACACAAAACCGTTTTGTTTTTTTAAAGCGAAAAACAAAAACACAAAACAAAGAGATGTGTGTGAAATACAAATTCCCCCTCTTGTGTATTACCCAGAGCAGCTATGGCAGAGGGAGCAGAGTTTGCTGGTGTACTGTTGAAGAGGTCTGGAGCAGATGACCCCTCAGACTGACTGGAAGCAGCGAACAGTTCTGCTCCAAACAGATCACTTGATGTAGACTAGTCACAAAACAAATAAATAAAATGAATAATGCAACACATTTTGTTAGCAAGTCACAACTATGTGGCAGTTAAGATTTAACAAATGCTTAAGAGAAACTAATAATTAACTATAGTTAAGCATACGATTGCATGCTTTGCCACTTACCCCTGCTCTTTTCACTGAAGCGTGAACATTAGGAAAATAGATTATGAGCAGCTGATTGTTAAAGTCATTCATTCAAGCCAGTTTGAGAAGCATGCGAACACCAGTGCATGCATAAAGAAAAGAAGTTATCCAAACAACAAGACCATGACCAGAGTTCCAAAATTAAAGTCCCTAACCCAGTGCATTCTCAGTGCCTTATCCTGTCAGACACCAAAAGCTCAAGAAGGGAGATGTTAGCTCCAAATGTGTAGTAAACCTTTTTTATTAAAACACATAACACATGCAAGCCTACTACCATTGGCGTAGCCGTGTTATTTCACCTTTGCGCTCCTTCGACCTCGTCCAGACTTAGAGTTGTGCGGAGGCGGGCTTATGAGAACTGAATCCTTGCTATGAGTCACTGGCAGCTCTGGGCGATGGGTCATTTCATTAGAGACAGGGGAAGTTTTCAAAGAGTCAAAAAATGGATTTTTGTTCGAGAGAACTTGTCCAGATTCATTTCCATCCATCATGGTAGTCGTGTTTCCCTGAGTTATTTTACCCCCCAGCGGCCACTGTCCGTTACTGAGCGCGAGGATCATGGTTTCCCTGGATAACCCATTTATTTGCTGACTGAGATGTTCAGAGTCTCCATTTAAACCACCATTAATAATTGTCTTACTAGTGCTGCCAACAGTGCCGTTTAGGTGATTGGTGGTGGTGTTGACGGGAATCTGTGCATTATCAGCTGCCAATAGAGTGGGTGATTTAGAAAGGGGGTCATCTCTGAAAGGGTCACTGTCTGGGGTTGGGAAATAGCCAAAAGTTGAGGAAAATGGATTCTCTGTCTGGGGATATGCCCTATAGTCAGGGGCACAGGAAGTTACAAAGGAATTTCCCTTTATGCAATTTTGATTGCTGTCAACTTCAGCAGAAAAGTCCAGTAAGAGAATATCATTAGAGTCCTGGTTAACACGAGAGGGGACAGTGAGAAAAAGAGAAAAGGATAAATCATTTCTGCAGAAGGGAGGTAATGATGTGTTAACAAGATGAACAATGAATCACATGGTGTGAAAAAGGAATGCCTTTTTAAAACTGCTACTTGCAGATTATGAAGAGTCACTGTCAATTTAATGCTGACAACTTGAATGTCTAGGGGCCACTTCTAGCTTGCTTACTGTAATCCTACTTGCTCTGAACAACAAGTTAGACTACAAGTCAAAGCCAGTGCTTGCTACTTACCCATAAATTCAGGTTAATAAGACATTTCAGCAGCACCGACGTAAAAGATTTGCCACAACTCTAAGTCTAACAGATTCTACTTGTAGCAGTTTTAAAGTTAACGACAACAACGAGACTAGTAAAACACAAAGCATAAACTCAATTCCTAAAAGACTTCATAGATTCTTAAATTGAACAGAATCTGATGACTTCACAAGTCTTTTCAGAATGGAGTTCTCAGAGGGCGTTGAGATTTTACTATAGAGTCATTTTTCTTACAAATACGTTCATTACATAAGATAGTGATAATAATTAGCAGGTACACAATTGTGTAAATACAGTAATAATACACTACACCAATTACAATTCCCATATTAAAAGAAATATTTACCATCATGATGCGACACTTACATTTGGAGCCTGAATGTCTGGAGGGGTTGACATATCTCCAAAAAGGTCATGCTGCTCTACTGGCTGGATGTGAAAATGAAACAGAAACATGCCATTTAAGAAGAAAAGAAAAAAAAAAAA